CCCGACCTAAAAAGAAAAAAAATCTAGGGGATTTCAGGAGGCATGCCCACCCCCTGTATTTCACCGTAATTTGATGTTTTGCAATTAGGTTTGATATTTTGTTGAAAACAATAGATTTGAGAGGATTTTAGTTGGCCATAAATATGTGTGTGTTCTGTAGCAAAAAAGTGCATCTGCATGCGTGTCTAAAAGTGAAAGTTAACCACCACAATTAGAGTTAGAGTGACATGTACTGTCAACTTCATCAGTCAAGCAAAGGATATATAGTAGAGAGTCTTTGAGTCATTTAAGTTCATCACCAAACTACGAATAGTTTTAGCCAGTTAAGTCAGGTCGTTTATGAACATTTATTCAAAACAACAGTCAAAGGGACGTAATCCATGTAAAATGACAACGTGTAGAGTTCGTTCTTTTAAGAAAGAATTGTCGTTCATGAAATAATTTTATCTATTGTGATAAGCCAATGGAAAGAAAAGAAAGGTCGAACCAAAAATGATATTCATACGGAGTTTTATATTAAAAGAAGCTTTGAAGAATAAAAGTGATATCTCGTCATTGTTAACTGTTTCATTATAGTCTAAATTTTATTCCCTGTTTCTACATGACCTATTTTTACATTCCCAATGTGGGTTTTATCTATTATTGTCTTCATTTTATTCCCAGTTTCTGCATGAACTCTTTTCAGATTCTCAGTGTGTGTTTTATTCATTATCGTCTCCATTATAATTCTGGTTTCTCTGTGACTATTTTAAGAGTGATCTATTTTTAGAGTGACATATTGTAAGATTCTCAGTTTGTGTTTTATCTCATATTGTCTCCCCTTTTATCGTGTCATCGCAGATCCCAGGCTCCAGCGCTCTCTTGGCTCGCAGGAATCAGATCAACGCGGGTCAGCTGATGCAGAACCGACTCAAGGGCCGCATCAACTCCAAGACAGGCTCCATATCTCCACTACCTCAGCTGCCCGGGATACATAGTCCTGGTGAGTGTTGGGGGCGGGACGGGG